TTTTTTTTGGTGTTTTTCTTGATGTACTAGTAATAGCTGTTGCAGAAATTTGTTTTTGTTTTTCATCAGGTTCAATGATATTGATTGTTTTCATCATATCCCTTGTAGCTTTATAAACGTCATTTCGTTCTTTTTGACTGTATGACTAAATAGAATAAGTATAAACAACAGATGTATGAAACTTTAATATTTTTTCGCGTATAAAACTTACTAATAAGTTTTTTGTGACAGGATGAAGAAATGTTGCTATATCATGAAGTCGAGTAAGCCAAACTTTTTCTTTTATTTGTTCTAATATCATTTTTTTGAAATATTTAATTGTTGGTAATTCATTATTTTTAATTTCACAACACGATTTTAATTTATTGATCCAAGGTAAAACCAAGTGCAGAGTAGGTTCCTGATCCGAAGATAGTTGTTCACTGGCCACCTCGAAAAACGATAAGATATTACTAATATTTGTTAATAATATATGATCAATTTTATCTAAATAATCGGCATATTCTTTTCTTTCCAAAAGAATATCTTCAATACATTTAAAATTCACATCAATAGAATTTAGCATATCGTAGACTGAGTTCCACCTACTGTCACAGTGTTGCTTCAAAGAAAAGAATAACATATGATTCAGCTCGCATCTTTTAAAATGTGTAACAAGTTCAGCAGCCGCATTAACTAGTAAATGAATATTTGGACATTCCTGAATGGAATGTTGAATAACCAAATTCAAACAATGACCTACAACAATTATTATAAACATAAAATTATTAAACTTTTATGGTCGTAAATAATGTTCTAGAAAATAGAAACACTATTTCTTTTTAGACTTAAAGAAAGTTATCTTTATTAAACAATTAATCTGACTTTCTCTTTAGAAGAGCTCTTTTTTTTTCCTACTGTAGAACAAAATTATGTATAATCTATAAAGAATTACTTACAAATGCATCTTAGATGTACCTCATTTTTTAATCCTGAAACGAAGTTTGATGCATTATCTGTTAAATATATAATATGTTTATCATCTGGATCTAAATCATATGATCTCAATACCGATTTAATAATTCGAATTGTATTTTCACCACTTTTAGTTCCTGAGAATAAAAGTGTTTTTAACATATATGTTACAGGATTATCATTTTTTTGTATAATGAATGTTTATGGTTAAAAAATTCTCACTTGTATAAGAATTTTTCCAATAATCAGTACTTATTCCAATTAATTTAACTTCTTTTAAATCTTCACGTAAAATGTCATTCATTTTCAAACGATATTCATTAGCAATTTGTTTAATAGTACGTGATATATTTGTACGATCAGGAAGTAATACTTCAACAGATGGTTTACTTAATTTAGCTAAACCATATTTATAACTCAAATCAATCAATGCCTGGCATAATTGTTTAAAACCTTCACCATTAACAGAATTAAAAGAACGCATGTCAAATGCACAATATTTTGAACATGCAACAGTAATCATTCTTTTATCATCGGGAGGTATACTAATATCTTTTTTAACATAATTGTCAATCGGCATCGTAGATTTTGGTAAACTAGTTTTCTTTGTACAACTTTGTACATGGAGATTAAGTGAATTTGTTCCATTTTTTACTTCATATGATAATATTTGTTGACAAATTACACATTGAACAAATGGTTCATATATTCCATTCATATCTTTTATTCGAAGTAAATTTGACCAAAATTCACCTTTTGCAGATGTTGGTCGTTCTTTAGTTGTACACAATCTACCTTCTTTAATTTTTGACACAATTTCTTTTTTTTTATCTTCGATTTGACTTTTTGATAATTTATTTGACATATTTATAAATACACAATAGATCGATTATAAATTACAATATTAAATCAAGTAGATCAACAAATTAATATAAACAAATAAAAAATTGATTCCAATTCATAATACTATTTCAAACGAATCAGTAAATAAGTATAAATACGAGATCAATTATAAATCACGATACTATTTCAAATAAATCAGTAAATAAATATGAATAAATATTAAATCGATTGAAACCACAATACTAATTCAAGTAAATCAATAAACAAGTATAAATAAATAATAAACTGATTGTAACTCACAATACTATTTCAAGTGAATCAATAAATGAATATAAATCAATAATAAATGAAATGAAAATTACA